ATTATGACACCTAGAAATATATGTGTGTGTGTGTGTGTATGTGTATACATATATATATAAATATATATATATATATATTTATTCATTCCTGCCAAACATAAGTGAAATCCCCTTACAAGAAGAAGCTTTAGTAACCACAGTAATAAGCATATCCACTAACAATATGGAAATGCTGTATAAAAACCATGCTACAAACTTTGTTAGAGAATAAACAAAAAATATGATGTAAAACAATAACTTTGGAGATAAACTCAGCAGTTAGACTTGTTGGTTTATTGTAAACAAAGTATACAAAGGACTAGAACAATTGGTTTATTATACATGTATATCACTAAATAAATACAAACAAATGTCACATGTATAAGGAATCCTGCAAGTGAACTCCCACTAAACAAAAACGTGTATCTGTATTAATAACATGATTGTCTAATATTTATTTGATAAAAAAAGATCTTGCATGATAATTGTTCTGTGTTTTAACAATAAAACTTTTTTCAACTTAAATAATTACTTGAATATTGTTTGAAACATATATTTCATTGTTACTCATAAAAAAACAAAAACGGATTAGACTAATATAGATAGGCCTCTTTTAGGAAGAGTTCAAATATGCAGTTTCCAACAACAGCTGGAATAGAAGGATAGAGTTACCTGATTCTGAATTAATCATCATGTATAGCCCTAATTCCATCCTCCACACACTACCCACCAACAAGCCTGATGAATGGGGAAACGTAATTGTAAGTTCTGATTGTCTTCATATGAAAATAGCTAGTATTTTGTATTTTCATCACATTTTTGGGTATTGCTAAAATAATGTTTAGAACAATTTTTGTAACAGTTTACAAGTTTATGTTTTGATTGTAAGCCATGATTAATGATATTTGAATATGAATTATTTATAGATATTCACACAGATCTAAATTCTAGATATTATTTTAAAAACTTTGAACCTGTCTTTTGGACTATTAAATAGACATGTTTGTATCAAGTGTGTCGTTATTTTAAATGTTTTGTTTAGTTTTAGCACTTCTCTTTGTTTTAATTTAATTTTAAGTAAAAGAATGTCACGACAAAATGTTGGGATGTGATTATTGTAAAGATAAAAAAATTTCAATAATTTATGTTCATAAGTAGAACTCTACAAAAGGGTTACTAATAGGATTATTAACAAAATATAGTTACCAATTTGTAGTTTTGTTTTGGGAAAATTGGATAACATGGAATTTAAAATAAGAAAGAAATTTATGGTTTCTTGCTAGAATCAGAAACAGCAATTGGGTTTATCTTCCACCATTACAAATATAAACATGTAGAAAAAAGTATGTTATATATATCGGGAATTATTAAAATATGATGTTTTGTAGGAGATTCAACGACCTCGTGTTGTGAAAAGAGGAGCTGAAAATTTTGAGCTTGTTGATTATGGAGAATCCACACAAATTGACCATCTGGTGTTTGTAATTCATGGAGTTGGAGCCATTTGTGACTTAAGATGTCGTTCTGTTGTAGAATGTGGTAAGTTCTAATTTGACACGGAAGAAGCATATTATGTATAAAGAAACGATTGTGTGTGTGTGTGTACACATACGTATAAATTGAACTGAGAATATTAAAAACATAGTCCAATAATAATTGAGGGTAGAAGACAAGTTGAGCTGAATTTGTACAGCTTGAGGTTTATTATTATAACCTTTCACTTTTTTATTTTATTTCAATAGTAGCTATCACAAACAAAGTGTACATAAAAAAATTAGTAAAACTCCTATGTTTCAACACTACCCAAGATTCCTTGTACAAGTTTTAAACAGATGGAACTAATCATAGATAAATACAGTTTGTTGTTAATGTCTTATTATTTTGTTATAGTGTTAGTAATTTAAATTTTTTAATGTATAATCAGCTTCCCATTTGCTCATTTAATCAATGAAATACTATTATATAAAGGCTTTCTGAAAAACTCCTTTATCTATTTAACTAGATTATGTAAATTTCACCAACTTTTAACATGTCCCTTGGGAGCCAAGGGGTGTCTTTACACTACAATTTGTTGAATATTGAAAATAAGTTCAATCTGAAAACTCCCAAAGAGGGTGGTTTTGGACCTATCTTTTCGAGAAAAGTTTTTGTTTGTTAATTGATAATTTTCACAGAAATACACCTGTTAAATGGTCATACAAAATAAAAATGAAGAACTACTATAGTTTTGATTGGTCACTTGGAATCACATGGACGTCAAGTTGCTTTGAACTTCCCTACCGAATTGCAGTTGAAATCGTTCGTATCTCAGTTGAAAGCTAAACATAAAAATGTGATAGCAAAAGCATAAAAGGTTGGCAATTGCTTAATTAATGATGCTGAGAATGTGGTTTTGTTCATATATATGCAGAATTGAGAATGCTGTATTTCACGTAAAAAAAGGGTTCCATTTTTTATTTTGAGTGACCAATTAACAGAAATGTTAATGTATGAATTTTATATTGGCTGACATTCTTGAAAATTGTATTACAAGGGGTAAAGAAACCAGAAAGTGAACACTTAAATAATGTATAGAATAGGTACATGGGAAACATGTTTTTGTCAATTATTTCTTTTCTTTTTTTTTTTCAATACTTGTTAAAAGAAAAACAGGTGAGATTTCTATTTTTTTTTTAGTCAAACGATGGTGCTGTACATAGAAATGTTTTAAACATAGTCAAATGTCTTTACATTTTCTTAAATTTTAAAGCATATTATATTCAAGAAAACTAGCTAAACTTTAACTTTCTGTGTTTGATTGTTTAATTAACTCCTTAGTTGGAAATCAAAACAAATTTCTGTGATGGTGAAACTTTGCCCTTCCCCAAGAAATTAATGTGCTGTGTACATCTGGATTCCATGGCATGTGTATAGATGACAGCACGTGTTAGTATTGCATGTGAATTTTTCAACTTTTTAGGGATGCATAAGTTATCTTTGTTCAGTATTTTTGGTTTGTTGATGGATAATGTATAATAGATTCAGAATATAAATTTAATTATGCTAAAAGTGAGATAGCTGTATCAAAACAGAGAACTGGGTAAATAGACATATCCCCAAAGCAATTTCACAAATACATTGGAGTGCTTCTCAGAGTAGTTGTCTCATCCCTAAGGTGATAAACCTTTTTGGGACACCTCTTCTTTTTTTTCTTTTTTTTTCATGTATCACTTCCAAGCAACCTAACATTGGAACAATGTTGGGAAATGTGTTAACTGATGAGCTCATTGACTTGATAGTTTGTGAGAGTAATCATGATTTAAACCATGGTTGAAGAATCTCGGTTATCACCACAAGCAAGATTGAAACACTGTACTTGTTTAAATCGTGATGGGATGAGAAAATTCTTGGCTCTAGTTATATTGAAGGCAATTATTCACAAGTCACAATATAAAATGTTTTAAGCCTCAAGACCAATCCTAACCTGAAACCAAACTTTTTGGTGACACTATATCTTTAAAAAGATTTTAGTTTATGTTGAAGACTCAAGATCACACAAAATTATGTTTAAATTTAAATGTTTATATAAGGTTTTAAATGCTGAATAAACACACAAATTAAAACCCTACAATTTGTTTGAATAAAACATGCCAGTAAGGAGGCCAATAATGTTTTTAAAAATGATAAGTTAAGAGGTTAATATTTGATACAGTGTATTGTGGTTTAAGGTGTGTAAGTAAAAAACACATGAAGCATCCAACAGGCCAGTAAGCTCATTAATTGTTATTTTCTTCATTAATGATCTTGTGAGATTGATATCTAATAAATAAGAATACTTAAAGTGGGGAAGGAAGCTGTGGAAACCATGTCGAGTTACCAAAGTCAAACTTACTAGGTAAAGCTTCAGAGGCAATCCAGTCTCAGTCATGGGTAAATAATTTTTTATATTATTCATCCATCATGAATTTTGTATTGATAAAAATAACAGAAATAGCTGAATGTTGATATGGAAGATATTAATGTAAATTAGTGAATACATTTCTGAAAATTGAATTAGCCAAGTTAGTCTTGTTAACTTTGAACTGCAGAAAATTAATGATTTTATTGTACAAGCCTAAAACTTGGTGATTGTATCATTAGACTCAGGTCTGTACCTCACCGAGAGAAGCACATAGTTATGGTCACTTTAAGTGGTAGTTATGAGATAGTAAATGCAAGCTACAACAGTAGAAGTTAAGTTGAGATTTTAGATTTATTTTTGTTATGACAAAACATGTTCATTGAATACACATTTAATGAAGTATTTGTTTGTTTCCTTTAAGATGTAGTTATTTGATGAATTCATTACATAACAGATAATGCTAGCAACATAAGCATTTAAATATGAATTATCAAATATAAAATTATTACACAAAATAGTATAATAGTACTTATACATTAGTTAAAAGTAGACGTATTAAAAACATACTGTTCAGCACAAATTAATCATAAAATGATTATTGTTTTTTAGTTTCTGTTTTGCATTTGTTTGCTGTTGAGTATAGGTTAGTATGTTATATACTCTTACTGCAGTGGATGACTTTCGAAGTCTTGCCATAAACCTCCTTCAGAGCCACTTTAAAGAACATGTGGATGAAGGCCAGGTGGGAAGGGTGGAGTTTCTTCCAGTTTCTTGGCACTCAACACTACATAGTGATGCAACAGGAATTGACAAGTATATAAACATATATATATAATTCTGTATTAAAGACAGAGAAATGTTTTGAAATGGTATAAAGTACAAAGCATAATTGATTTGTTATTGAAAATGTGGTCCAAAAATATAAGTAATAGGACATTTATTTTAAAAAAACACATTATAGTGTAAAATTGTATTGTAAAACTTTACTAAATAAACAAATTAGCCTCTAATGAAGACTTTTGAATAATTTTAATATTTTGATATGAATATCCTTATGATTCAATATATATATGTGTGTGTGTGTGTGTGCATGTGTATATTAAAGTTCATGTATGCTTTAAAACCAAATTCTAAACTGAAAGTCTTATAGATTTTACATGTATGTTTTTTTTTTCAGACAAATGAAAACAATCACACTGTCAAGCATCCCCAAGCTCCGAAATTTTACCAATGACACACTACTTGACATACTCTTCTATACAAGCCCAGTTTACTGCCAGACCATAGTAGACACTGTCGGGTCTGAATTGAATCGTCTCTACCATTTGTTTTGCAGTCGAAACTCGACCTTTCAGGGAAAAGTTTCTGTTTCTGGCCATAGCTTAGGTAAGGCCTTCTGGTAACTTTTATTGAAATATTTGTACCAAAGATATAAAAAATTGAACTTTTCCATAGAAATTGTTTAATTGGTTTTTAATATACATTGAGTTTTAAGTAAATGTTTCACTAAAACAAATGCTACTTTACTGTTAAAGCTGAAAGATTGTTTGATTGTTGATCAGGGCAGAAAATACTTAATCTTCTTTCTTGGCTTATTACTTGGAAACACAATCTGGAAGCATAGAAAAACATGGGATCTTGAGTTCAATTACACAAAACTTTAAATAATAGAGAAAAAAATTGGTGAGGCTTATTTTAATACCATATTTGAGAAATTATGGGAAATTACTTGTGGTCTCCTGGCTTCTGTGTTTGATGGAGTTAAATATGCACTGAAAAAAAAGAGAAGAATTATCATACTGTTTGAAGTTGCCCAAGTAGTGCAATAGATAATCCTGGGAAGATACTGTAGTGACATTTTATATAAAGTATACCATCAAGAGATAAGAAAAGCTTCACTAGGCTAATGCATTGTGTTACTGTTTATTTTTGACCCATTTTTTTGCACTTGGAAATGACACATTTATGGTTAATTTATATCATTATAAAGTATTTACCTGCAGCAATTCCTTGTCATCTGTAATTATAAATGTCTCCATCAAAGAATTGTTGAACATCTTACTTCCATATATAACAACTAGTGTGTTTTCCAGCATGCTATGGTCCCCCAGTTTGACAGCAGCAAGTCTGTGGACTTACAGTATTAAAATGTGGAGTTTTAATTTCTTGTGGTGGACACAGTAGATATCCCAATTTGGCTTTGCTCTAAAACAAGCAAACAAATCCAGTATGCTATGGAATGTGAATGTGAACAATTTAACCTTCTATTCAAGGCAACAAGTGAAAGAGTATTAAGATTCAAAGAGGTTCTGACCATTAAAACTTTGAAACCTGAAATAAACATCATGGAGAATTCATTCAATAAGTTAATTAGAATATATTTTAAATATTTCAGATGAATAATTAAAATGTTGCAGTTTAATCAGTGTTAATAATTTTCTGTCTTGGTAGATTATTAACATTGTGCATCAAAATATCAAACTATGTGTTTCTGTAAAATATAGTTTATAATTTTATATATATATATATATATATATTTATATCCCTACATATTAATATGAGTATACAATATCTTTTCACTAGTGTTTAATTGGCTGACGAGTCAAAGATTTTATGTTGCAGTTTCAATGAACTTAACTAATTATTAGATACAACTAAACTAAAGTTGTTTTCATTATAATAGTAGAATAAGTTGTTTCAGCCATGAGCTTTCATAAAGCAATTTGTATTGTGATTAAAAGTATATAATAATCATTTTTGGTCTGAGTTCATTAAAGAAAACAAAATGGTTTTATTTGAACAAACACTTAATTGATGAGGTAGAATCTAGTTTAATATAATATAGCCATCTTGTCATGTAAGCTGACATCTAAAAAGTATTTTATTTTGTTAGGTTCTTTGATCCTCTTTGACATTCTTGACCACCAGATGGACCAAAGTCCTTTGAAAGGTCAAAGTCTTCCTGATGTCTCATTGGTTCCATCCATACATAGTGCTGCTGTAGAACAACAACAATTACTCAGTGAGGATTTTACAGCAGACCAAGATGTGCCAGCAACATTAGAATCTGTTTTTGAAAAACTAGGTCTTGTAGAATATGTGAGCAAATTTGAAGAAGAAAAAATTGATTTAGAAACACTGGTATGCATAGCGTAATTTTAAATAATTTCTTTTAGTCTTTTTTTTAAATAAAATATTAATAAAACCAATGTAAGTAAGCTAAAAACAAAATGAAAATTGATTAGTAGTGTACAACTTCCTTTCACAATGTTCTAAATTTTTCTCATTCTTTTATGTAAATAATGGGCATAGCACTAATTAATCCACATTTCAACATTGTACCTGTTATACTACAGTAACTGCATAATTTACTATAACATGCTTGGTCCTAAAACAAGAAAAAATCTTTTTATCAGCATATTTGTAGTTGATCCTTCAAAGTATAAGCATCAAATTTACAAAGATTTAGCTTAATTTCAGCTGCATTTTGTTTTTATAAGGCATAACCTCATATATATACTGGTAAATAAGCAAACACGTTTTATAGAACCTGGGCTAGGATTTAGTGCCATCCATACACCACATAATTCTGACCAAACCCAAACTTTTCTAAATGTCTGGACCCAGAAATACCCCAATTGAGCAACTGTGGCTTTCATAATTTTACTTTTTTAAAAAAAAATACTGAAATATTAGTTCAACAATGACTAATTTTTGGTAGATGTGTGTACAAGCAAAATAACATACTTTAATAAATAATAAATGGAAATTTTTTTTTTATTTGTGTTATCTTCAAGAAAAATTTATAAGCTGAAACTTGCTAAATTACCCTAAGCTTATAGAAATGGAGAGAAAGTACAACAGTATATTTGTCTTATGCCATGAGCTAAAATATGTAGTGAAGAAACCATGAGAAAATTTAATGTGCGAGTTCTATAAAAGTAAAGTTTACCAAAAAAATGTTTTTGAATGATTTTTAGTCTTATTGAATGATATTAATTTATTTATTTTTTATTGACAAACTAGTATTTGTAGTATTAGGTGATGATTTCAGGATATTATTTATATGTAGAGTGTCCGTTGATTGTCTGATTGAGCTTTATTTTTGTTGGTGGTCATGATATACTTTTCATTTGAAGTTGTTTTACCTTAAATTCTCTTATCTTCAGAGTATGACCAGTACCACTGGCTGAAACTATACATGAATGGTTGATTATTAATTAGTGACTTTGGTATTTAAATGAAGATAACTTTTGATAACTGTTTGTTTGTTTGTTTGTAGTTAAGCGCAAAGATACACAAAAGGCTGTCTTTGCTTTGCCCACCACAGGTATCGAAACCAGTTTTCCAGTATGTTAAGTCTGCAGACATACCTCTGTGCCATTGGGGGGGCTTTGATAACTATATGTCTGAATTTAAAACCTGTGTAGTTTCTTAATAACCAATAAAACCATTTATATCCATAAAATACTTATTTTTATCCAGTATTTTGATCACAGGCTTTTTGTGGAGATTGTTTCTGTAAAGGTTCTCCTTTTTTTATCCCTTCATATGCAACTGAAACTGCTTGCTTATTAAGTTCAGCCCATTAGGAACCTAGATTCTTGTTCTGTACTAGTTATGAGTGAGGAGAAAGTAAAGCACAATAAATATGAAACCCAACTGTTTGTGAGTTAGGAGAAAGTAAAACACACAAACTTGAAACCCAGATGGTTGTGAATTAATTGTAAGTTAAGCACAGTAAACTTGAAATCCAACTGGTTGTGAATTATGAGTAATTAAATGACAATAAACATGAAAACCAACTGTTTCTGAGTTAGGAGTAAGTAAACTTGGAACCCACCTGGTTGTGGGTGAGGAGTAAGTAAATCACAGTAAACTTGAAACCCAACTGGTTATAGAACTAACGATGAGTTTGTTTTATTTGCTGTGTTTATGAATAGTTATCTTTGAAGTCTCACATAGTCTTTTTTATTTATAGCATATGTGCAGTGAAAATGATATTAAAGAAATGGGTCTGCCAATGGGACCACGGAAGAAACTTCTGTGTTATCTTCAAGAAAGGGAAGAAAAGAAAGTAAGAAGTTATTTGTTTCTGTAACTTTATGTTTTGTGTTTATTTTTCTTAATTGCCAATAAACAATTTTAATATCTGAACTATATATATATATATATATATATATATATATATATACTACTACTATATTAGTTGTTTAGTTAGTTAAAGTAAATTAGTACTATAAGTATTATTTCGTTTACCTTACCTTACCTACCTTGTTACGTTTTAGTAAA